ATATATGTGTGTGTGTGTGTGTGTGTGTGTGTGTGTGTTAAATTTGCATATATAAATAACCAAAAACTCAATAGCAATAACATATTAGCAAATATTTCAATTCAAAAACTAAAAGTAGATAGTAGATACTAAAAGTCTAGAACAAGATAGTCAATAATTCATCAATTTTACACTAAAAGTCTGGCACTGAAAAGAAAAAAATGAAAATCAGAGGAGAAAATAGAGAAACAGAGGAAGAAAGAAGAACAGAAAGGTGAGAAGAAGAAGAGAAGAGTCTTTTTTTTTAAGAACAGAAAGGTGAGAAGAAGAAGAAGAGAAGAGTCCTTTTTTTTTTTTAAAAAAAACGACGCTTCTGTCACATTGTCACCTCCTTGCCCCACTGACGCCTCCTCGCCACTTTTCTAATTTCGCAACACCTCAGCTGAAAATAGCGATGGGCTTCTGCTTCGTGTCACCTCATGCTATTAGCGCTGAGGCGAGCGCTATTTACAATACCGGTTCATACCTTTAAAATTGCGAGAAATAACATTTTACAGAATAGGAATATAGCGTATAAGAAACTGACGACTAGGAAAGGTTGATGGCTCCAGGGCTTGCCATATAAATAGAAAAGAGACCGTCATCTTTACAGTGGCGAAATAATCTTTCTTTTTATAACTATACATCCCAATCTATAGGATTAATCAAGCTGCAGCTCTACCGAGATCTCCTTCCTACTCTACAAGGAAGTGGGTGCTTGCCTACGTGGAATGGGCCAAAGGACATATGTTTTCTTTAATTCAGATGAGGGCGAGCTGGATAAGTGAATGAAAAAAAAAAACGATTCACAAGGCGAAACATGAGGGAACCCAACCTAGCGGGAAAAGTGCAGCAGGGTCAGAGGGGGACGGAGAAGTTTGCCCCGGGCAGGCCTAGGTTAGGAGGGTGAAGCATCTACCATTCCCCCCATTGCTATCCCTAGCACCGTCTAGGATATTCATAATTCGTGGTCCTATCCTGATTGTTGATTCCGGTTCCAATTTCGTGCACCTAGTCATATTTTATGGGCCTACAGAGATAGTTGCTTCCAGTTCCAACTTTTGTATCTAGAAAACATGATGCAAAAGTAATTCCGGGCCAATGAGACTAAAAGTTGCAACATTGAAAATTAACATTACCACCCGTGGCGGATCTATGTACAGGAAAGGGGGTGGTACGCCACCGGGTCGCTCGAGTAAAAATTCATATATACTCCCTCTGTTTCAATTTAGATGACACACTTTCCTTATTAGTCCGTTCCAAAAAGAATGACACATTTCTACAACTGGAAATAATTCAACTTTAAACTCTTCATTTTAACATTTTACCCTTAATGAGAAGCTTTTATAACCACACAAATGTCATGGCTCCACAAAGCTTTTACCCCTTAAGCTTTTAAAACCACAAGTTTCAAAAGTATTCTTTTTTTTCTTAAACTCTGTGCTGAGTCAAACTACCTCAACTAAATTGAAACGGAGGGAGTACACTGGTATTTTCACGTAAAAAGCGTTCATAATTAGAGTGTGGCACCCTCAGTCACAAAGTGAAGTTAGGTTCCGTGGTCCAAGTTTCTCTTACCAGGCGCAAGGCCCAAGATCGATACTTGCCTCACTCATCTTATCAATTCAATTTTAATGTTCCTCTCCACCTCGCTTGTTCCCTTTTTTCATTTTCTTTCTTTTATGTTCATCTTTGTATTTCCTCTCTTTGTACAACCCTTTTTTAATCTAGTTAATGTTATTTTTTTTTTTCATGATTTCAAGTAAAGGACCAAATATATTCAGTTTGGTTATCACATGTTAAGTGGTAAGTTTACATAAAATAGTGGCACCCGTAGTTATCAAATCCTGGATCCGCCTCTGAATTTACTACATATGCTTTGGTTCCAAATTGGTAAGACATCAAGGCACCAACGAGACAACAAATTCAATTTGTTAAAGCCATAGAAGATTTTCAACCCAAGGAAAAAAAAAAAAAAAAAAGAAGAAGACGACAACTCAAAACGAAACAACACAAGGTCATTTATTTGGAGAAGCCATCATATTTCACCCAACCACAGGCTATATCATGGTGGTTATACATAGAGCATAAGGTTCACCATTCTATTGACTTCTATGCGGCTACCAGGTTGAGTAAGACACAAAATTCTTTAGTTAAGGTTTTCCCCAGCACTACAATAGTTACAGTGATATTGGATTCTTGTACTTACAAGTTCTTAGCCTTGGAATAAGAAATTCTTAGTGTCCAAATGGTCAAAGAATGTAAAGCTAGATGCCTTCAAGTAACATAAGTAGTTACATTAAACAGAAAGGTGAATAGATCATAGCATAGCTTATAGCAAATATTAACAAACACTAGGCCTTAGCAGAACAGAGCCACCAAACAATCATAGTCATAGTGATCGACAAAGCTCATAACCATAGATTAAAACTACAAAAAGAATCTCATATCTTTGTGAACCTCAGTGACCAGAATTTTAGACACAGAGAGAAGTTAATACTTCAAATTGACCTTCTTCACACGACATCAGTACTTCAAATTGGCCCTCCTTAATTCAAATATCCAACCAACAGTAAAAAGTTCTAGCAAAAACTATCAGGGTTCACAACTAAAGACTATTGTGGAGGAGAAAAATATCATGTCCTCCTAGTGCATAACAAAACCAAAAAGAACCAATTCACAAGTTCTTCAATTGAGAGAGTGAGAGAGAGCCAATCAGAGGTTCTCAACCAATCGTACACACACAAAGAGAGAAGATGAAAGAATGAACAAAATGAAATGCATGGCCACTTATTTTCACAGATGAAATCGATGATATCTAACAAGAAGAACAAAGATGGAAGAACACAACATAGCTCATAAATAAAATGAACCCTAAATGTTAATTGTCCCACCCAACCCACACGATTGGAGGAGAACAAGGAATAATTACCATGTGGGGGTACTTGTCCTCGTCAACAACCCTCGTGTTTTCAAGCTTAATGTTCAGATACTGATCAACTGAATGTAGTGTTCCTCGGATAGCCAAGTCATTCTTCAGTTCCACAGTCACTTCTCTGCCTACCAGATCCTTGAAATATGAGAAAAACAACTGGAAAACAGAGTGGGTCAGAGGCAAAACCCAGCCAGAATATAGACCAAATAAATATATGAGAAAAAACCTCAAATAAGAATTGATTCCAATAAGGTAAATAAACTTTCCACTGTAGAACAATTGGAGAAAACAAAGCAGACACCAAGTATATACAGCACTAAGAAAGAGAGATCAGGAAAAAAAATACCATTTTTCTCTCCCAGGAATATCACTGTGCTCTCTCTGTCCTTGACAGCTCTCTGCTTCAACAAAATTGGACAATTTCAGACCTTTTTTTATAACATAGTACAACAACGAAGAAGAACTATGAGGTCTCAAGTCCAAGTTCCAATCAAGGCAAAACACACTAGGTGATATCTTCCCACCCGTCTAAAGCTTGGTAGGCAGAGTTATCCAGTACCTGTATTGGTGCAAGGTAGCAAGCACACGAAGGAATAGTCGAGGTGCGCATAAGTTAGCAGGGACATCACCTTCAATAAAAAACCCAGCACAACAACACCTAGTTTTTGAATTCTGTGAAGATTCATAATTCGCTGAGGATTGATAAATTGACTAGTTTTAGTCTGAATGGACAACCTACTCTACAACCGCCCCCTTTATCCAAGCTTGGAACTAGCAGTATCAGCTAACATAAGATGCTGAGCTCAGACAAACAGATTTCTTGCTTAAAAGTATATAGTATAAGCGGAAAATTTCTAATTGTTACAGATGTTAAAAAGTCAGTTCAATAGCACACCAAACAAACCTCAAGGGCCGATTGTTTAGACTGTATTAGATATAATCGGGATGTTATTCAATTATTGGTTAGGAATTAGAATCAGTTGTAAATCTTGACCTCCAATAATCCCAAATGCTGAATAGTAACAATAAAAATAAAAAGAAAATAGCATATTTTACGGTCTTATATATTATCTTAATAATCTAAATATTCACAATTTCAGAGCCATCTATTACATGAGCCTCCAAACAAGAAACATGAGAAATCGAAGTCGACAATTTGTTTAAGCAGCGGAGCAGTACAAAGCATGGGAACAGAATGAGATTTTTTTTTTTGAGTTTACCATTAAAAACAAAAAAAAAAAATTTAAATTAAACAATTGGGAAGAGGGATTTAGGGTTTTCCTTTTTCAAATACAGAGAGATATAAAGAGGGGGACTTACAACTCGACTTCGCCGGAGGAAGAGATGTTTGAGAAGCAAGTGGAAATCGGAGGCTAGTTTAGTTGGAAATTCGCGTCAGAATTTGAAGTCCTTTTTTTGCTTGAAAACATATAAGCAAATAGTCCTACCGTTCCAAACCGTGAATCATTGTTAAAACAATTCTTTTTCCTTAATAACGGGGATTTTGTTACGAATTCGCTAACAAGAAGATTATTCATTTAGTACAAATTTATCTACAAGTAGATGCAGTCAGGTTGCAAGCAACTTAATGAAATGATTTGCAGCAGTTTTTTATTAAACAGGCACATTACAAACAGTTCATGCACACACCTTACAAGCAGCTAAAGAAAAACCTTGCAGCTGCTTCCTGAAAAATCTCGCAACTGCTTCCTTTCTTATATAAATAGAGAAGTTTTCAGTTCATTATGAACAACAGTTTGAAGTTGAATAAAAAAATCAATCCCCCTCTATACTTGTCTTCGATTTCTTTACTTTACAGTCTTTATTTTATAACACGTTATCAGCGCGAGGCTCTACCATTTTGAGTACGTACTTCGAATTTAATTTCTATTTCAGTGTTCGTCTCTGATGTAAGGCGACACTCTTATGTCTGTGGTTAGATCTTGTTCATAACAAGCATCATATGGCAGATTATATCCTTGAGGTGTGTTTGTCTCCGAAGTAAGGCGACACTCTTATGTCTGTGGTTAGATCTTGTTTATAACGAGCATCATATGGCAGATTATATCCTTGAGGTGGTGAGTTTTTCTTCTTGACAGTAGTGATATAGATATCACTTACATCTGGTGTGGCCAAATTTGCGTAATTTAATTTGAGCCTTTTGCTTATATTTTAATATCACTATCATCGCTTGCTTTGTTATATGTTACGTATATAGTACCTATTTTGGTATTTGTTTTCATCCTAATTATCTTAATAAAGGATTACAAAGTGGATAACATTATTAGATCCACTTAAACTCCAGCAGAGTTTGCAAGAAATATACAACCACCAGAAGTGATTATGTTTCATATATCTCATTGTAACTAAATTTTGTTAACCACCAGAAGTGGTATATGCCTATGACAACCAGAAGTGATAATTTAGGCTTTTGGTGGTTACAATTAAAGATAAGCTAGAAAAATATTCTCTATATTACATGCACGCCTCGATTTGCTCCTGAAGTAGTAAATATTTTAAAAGAGGTTGAAGCATCACAATTGATGTGATTAATGCGCGTTCAGATAATTATATTCGATTTCCTGAAGGATGAGAATTTTTGATAAATATTAATCCATTCCCTGAAGTGAATGTGATAATATTAATAAAGTTGTAAATATGAACGTGCTCTTGATGTAAATATATTACAATTCACCTCCATAAGAGGTAATATGATTGAGAGAATATATACTCAATTTTTCGTATTTTAATTTGCTACTGAAGAAGTAACACAATTGAAATTTTCTCCCAAAGCAGGAAAATATTATGAAACTGTATCTTTTTGTGTGTAAATAAAATAATGAGCTATTCAAAGTTATTTTTGAAGCACATTTTCATTCCCTGTAGTGAATGAAGAAATACCACAACTCACCTCCGGAAGAGCTAGAATAACAAATGATATAAATATTATTTTTGTGGCATAAAAATCATTGTCGCACGTACCTGTTGTACGTAAAATATCTTGGATAATTTTATTAAGTATCATTCTAAGGCAAAAAAATTCTTGTAGAATGCTTTCTACTACAACCACATTAATATATTATGGTTAGTTATTGAGTTCCCCGAAAGAAATAACAACTCGTGTATCTTTCCTTAAAAGATGCAATGACTATGTGATTGCCGTATTGATACAAAATATTCAGATGTTAATGATATTTCTCCTTGAAGGAGATATTTGTCACAAAGTTAGTAATAGAAATATTAAAATTCTTAATTTTCGTCATTTATAGATTTAGAATTAGTTTTATATTGTTCATTTGGTTATAATTTTCTCTCATAATACCAGAAGTGTCTGAGCAATATTTGATAGTACAAAATGTGTCAACAACTCCTGAAGAGCTAATTGTTTGTCTAGAAGACACATGACACCAGTGGTGTCTGATAAATATTAGATTGTGGATAATAAAGGAAGGCTCTCGAAGAGCTTATATACAAATATGTCATTCATATTATATGATTATGGTCAAAACATATGTTGTAGTAAACCTGAAGTTTACTAATACAAATGGCTATCATATTGAGACTACAAATGATTGAAAGATTGAAAATCTTCATGTTCCCACAATCATATGGGGTAAATATGTATGTGAGAAGTTACCCGCCTTATTCTTCAAATTTGTACTACATCATGTATCACAGTATCCCAGAAGTTTACTAATGCAAAAGCAGCCACAGTAAATTAGAAATTTACTGATACAAAAGTAGCCACAGTAAATCAGAAGTTTACTGATGCAAAAGTTTATGCCATAGTAAACCAGAAGTTTACTTAGAGATAGCACATGCCATGATAAACTTGAAGTTTTCATTTGCCATTTTTAAATGAGCTATTTGAGAATTCAGATAAGCATATACTGAAGAATTATAAGATTCTTCAAGAATTCTCTTGGGTGGCTTGTTCTTATAATAACTTGATTATACCAACTAAAGTTGGGACTAAAATTCCCGAATTCTGAAATATATAAAAGGTGAATATGAGCCCATTCACCTATCATGTGAACCACTTATAGATGCATATATAAGATGGTTACGTGTATGTTTATTGTCAACCTGCAGTTTTACATTTGAAATTGTCTTTCTCAATTAATAGCATAATTTTCAGATTATAAAATCAAGATAGTTCATCTTGATGATGCTGGTTTATATCCAAGCTAGTTTAGCATTGAATACCTCATATTAATGGCTAAACTGTTTCTTATGAGAACAAAACTTCATGTGTTGGTCTAAGATTTTCTAAATTGCATATAGCAGCACTTGTATGCATCAGACCAACAAAATATGATAAGTCATTCCCTCTCAATTGGTTTAGGATCAGAAACCAAATATTTTTATTATTATCTAATAACTTTTGATGTGTGGTATATGATTAATTTCTCTACCACGATGCACAAAGATGTATTTTTCAAAGAAGATTGGGGATATGAGTTAGTTTTTCTAACATTTGAGGGATGAAATAAACAGCTGAAAAATATGCTATATGAATCGAATTATCATTAATATGATCATCGCTTAGAAGATAATTCAAGTCAAATGCCAGAAGCATTTGTTGATCCAAAATTAAATATCATATTTCAGCTGCAAATGCTCCTATTAAAATTAAAATCCCTGAAGGATAAACTTTACTGCACGCATGAAGCGTAGTAAACCGATCGGTTCCAAAGGTAACAATCCTTGAAAAGGATAGGAGCAAGTGATCATAATGAGGAGGAAATGAGCAATGAGCTCTAGAAGAGCCCACGATATAACATTTCATGAAACTCCAGAAGAAGTTCAGGTACCTGAAAATAAAGAAAGTGATGAGATCTCAACAAGTTATGCCGCTTAGGAACCGATACAAAATGATCGTCGGCGATATATTTGATACAATATAGTACACAATATTATAAATGATTGTGAGGATCGGACCTGTAGTCCAGACACCTGAAGATGTCATGCCATCTAAATACAAGTCATAACCTCTATGACTCATTTGATTAAGTCAAAATGAAGATCCCCGAAGGATTTAAAAATGCTTGAAGCATATAATTCAAAGTCTCAAGAAATATACTCAATCAGATTACAAAAATCTTTGTATGAATTAAAACAATCAGGGCGCATGTGGTATAATCACCTCACTGAATTGATGAATGACGGTTATATAAATGATGGCATTTTTCCATGCATTTTTACAAAGAAAACAACATCAAAGTTTGTTATACGTGATGTTTATGTTAATGACATAAATATCACAGGAACTCCAGAAGAGCTCCAAAAGGAAAAACTTTGTGTTAGTCTGCAAATTGAATATTTAGCAGACGAGATCTTTATCCATCAGTCTGTCTATACAGAAAATATCTTAAAATACTTTTACATGGACAAAGCGCACCCATTAAGTACACCAAATAGGTGTTCGATCACTTGAAGTGAATAAGGATCCGTTCTGACCTTCAGAAGAGGATGAGGAACTCCTTGGTCCTGAAATACTCTATCTTAGTGCAATTGGTGCACTTATGTATCTTGCCAATGCTAACAAAGGTGGTGCAGATCATATTGGTTATGCAGATGTAGGTTATTTATCCGATCTCCATAAAGTTCGATCTCAAATCGGGTATGTGTTTACATGTGGAGGTATTGTCATATCATGGCGCTTCACAAAGCAATCTATTGCTGCTACTTCTTCAAATCATGCTGAGATAATAGTTATTCATGAAGCAAGTAGGGAATGCATATGGTTGAGATCAGTGATTCATTTTATTCGAGAAAAATATAGTTTGGAATGTGATAAAAGATCCACAATTTTATACGAAGACAATGCTGCATGCATAGCCCAATTAAAGGGAGGATTTATAAAAGGAGATAGAATGAAGCACATTTTACCAAAATTATTCTATACTCATGATCTTTAGAAAAATGGTGACATCGATGTGCAACAAATCCGTTCAAGTGACAATCCAACAAATTTGTTCACTAAATCTTTGCCAACTTCAACTTTTGAGAAAATGGTATACAAGAGTGGAATGCGGAGACTCAAATATTTGAAACAAGATTTTCATCAGGGGGAGTGAAATACGCGTTGTACCCTTTTTTCCTTACTAAGCTTTTTTTCATGGGGTTTTTCTTATAAAATTTTTAATGAGCCAGTTAGAAATGCGTATTACTAAATACGTGTACTCTTTTTCCTTCACTAGAATTTTTTCACTGGATTTTTCCTAGTAAGGTTTTAACGAGGCACATTATCTTTTAGTGAACATCCAAGGGGGAGTGTTATGAAAATATTATATTGTGGATGTCCATTTATTACTCTGCTATAGATAATCTTCCTGAAGAAGATTATCCATTTAGTACTATGTTGAAATTTATCTACAAGCAGCTGATGCAGGCAGGTTGCAAGCAACTCAATGAAATGATTTGCAGCAGTTTCATATTAAACAGGCAGGTTGCAAGCAATTTATGCAGAC